CTGGAGAACCAATGAATTTACTGAACTTACTTACTGAGATAACTGAGGAGTTGCTGAGGTGTATGAATGACCTGAGGGTATGCACACTGGAAAGCCTTTACCCAGCATGGGTCATGCCTTCTCTTCCTAGCCTTCCCCAGATTGTATAGTTTAGCCCTCCCCAAATCTAGGAGACCATGTGTGATTAGGGCCAAATTACATACAGTTGGCTGGGAAGGGTGGCTGGATACTCTGGTGAGGGTCCAATGACCCTGTTTGTCCCTCCTTTAATGAAGGGGCACAACTGACAACAAGCCCAATTGTGGTGATGTTTAGCAATCAGGCACTGCTGAAGTCATTATGATGGTATTATTTCATGCAGAAGAGACTGCTGTACAGTACCATCTTATTAAAAGGACATGGAATTTTAAAGGATTTGGTGCTAGGATCAGAAACCTTTTCTGCATCTATTGAGACGATGATGTGGTTTTTGTCTTTGAGTCCATTTATATGATGAATGACATTTATTGACACGTATATTGAACCATCCCTGCATCTCTGGAATAAAGCCTACTTTTTTTTTTTTTGTCTTTTTGAGACAAGGTCTCCCTGTAGTCCCAGCTTACCTGAACTCACTACATAGACGAGACTGGCTTTGAACTCACAGAGATTGGCCTGCCTCTGCCTCCAGAGTGCTGGGACTAAAGGCATGGGCCACCACACCTGGCCTGGTGAGTGATCTTTTTGATGTGTGTCTGTATGTGGTTTGCAAGTGCTTTGTTGAGAATTTTTTCATCTATGTTCATTAAGGATATAGGTCTATAGCTTTCTTTTTTGGTTGTGTCTTTACCTGGTTTGGGTATTAGAGTGATGCTGGCTTCATAGAAGGAATTTTGGAGTTCTCCCTCTGTTTCTATTGTTTTGAATAATTTACGTAGTATTGGTTGAAGGTCTTCTTTAAAGGTCTGGTAGAATTATGCTGTAAATCCATCTGGGCCTGGGCTTTTTTTTAGTTGGGAGGCTTTGTATTGCTGTTTCAACTTCCTCATATGTTATGGGTCTGTTTAAACCATTCATCTCTTCTTGGTTTAACTTTGGTGTTTGTCTTAGTTTGTTCTTCATTGCTGTGACAAAACACTCTGACCAGTACCAACTTGGGGAGGAAAGGGTTTATTTGTCTTACATCTCCCAG